GGCGGGCGGGAGCGGGGCTGGGGCAGCCGCTGCCCCGGGAGCAGGAGTTCAGAAATCCGAAGCGGGATGGCGGGGCGGGAGAGCGGCGGGTGAGGCGTAGGTGGGTTGCGGTGAATGCTTCCGATTTGACTCTTCCCGGGGCAGAGGGTAGCTCGGCCCTGAGCCTCATCCCCGCGGGTCCGTGGGTCTCGTGTGCTTGTCTCTTTGGCTGCCTGTTCGTTCTGCTTTTAACCAGGGCTGTGCGGACTTCCCAGACGTTTCCAAATTGAAAATCATACGTGTGTTGCAGGGCATCTCGCTTAGCAAAGAAGGAGGATCAATACTCCCCGGTTTCATTTTTAAGGATAGATGGGTATTAGTTGGTGCAGTTTTGTTATGCTAGAACAGTTTGGAACATAATGGGAGGTAGCTGCCTTTCTTATAGTAATAATTAGGCAAATCGCCAAAGATCAGAGTGTATAAACTGTGCTATAGCTTGTTTCGTCAGGTGTAATAGCAATATATCTATACATACTCTCTATATGTGCGTACATATATCTATACAGACTTAACCGTTCAAACACATCGGCCTAGAGGTTAACGATTTGGGCTGAAGAAGGCTTTTGCTGAACTACTACTACTGCATATAATAGGAGTTCAGGACTTGGAAGCAATTCAGTCTTGATAGCTTGAAAAAATTATCTTTGGAGTTAATGTTGGTACTTGCTGCCTCAGTGGCAGCCTCCTGTGTCTCATTTGTGGAAATGTTCCACATTTCTGAAGGAAAAATGTGTAACAGTAACTCTGTTTGCAGAATTCCTGAATGCCATGCAGCAAAGTGTGCTCTTTTTAGAAAAACTTCTGTGCAACTCAAGCCTGAGTCTTGTTAAAAGCTGGTGGGCCATACTTGTAGATCACTCAACAGCTTTTGTAATTCACCCTCCCAAATGTCAGCCGTGTGCAGTTGTAGAGGTTAATGGAAAGACGTAGGAACCGCACAGGGGTTACGACTGCTTGGGAGATAAACAGCGAACGCTTAATAGTTAACTTAGCTAGGCTTTCAGCTCTGTGCTGGAGACCAGCAAATTCAGGTTTGGTACAGCAGGGAGCTGGAAACCAAGTTAAAATGGTCTTCGAGGGAGTAATTCCAACTGAGAGTAGTAGTTGCTTTCTTAATTACCCCTTGCTAATTAAATTCAGTAGTACTATCCTGCGTAGCAGTGGAATGCAGTGACTCGCATTTTTGTGTGCTGAGCCAACTTCGTGTGATGTGGTAGCTGAGCTTAAAATAATAGTTAACCACTGAACTTTGCAGCCCCGATGAGGAGAGTAAGCCTGCCGAGCCGTGATTTTCGTGTGTGTATGTATATAAATGTTTAATCTTTTATAGATTTCAATCCAGTAAAAAAGTGGTGACATGTTTGAGACGTTAAATGAAGCCATTTAAACCCCAAGTAGGGAGATGGGATGCCTTTTAATTTTGCCTGGAATTTTGGTAATAAAGATGTAACTTACGTATGATTATTTCTGACTTATGTATTTCATTGCAATTTGAAATGATGTCAGTATTTCTTTAGCGGTTTCTAAGAGGCTATTGCTCATGAAATATTGAGCTAATGACCCGAGCTATTCAATGATGATGAAAGGCCCGATCTAACATTTTATTGAACATGGCATTTATGAAAAATGAAACTGCTCATTTCTATTATATAATCAATAGCACATTAAACCATTTATCATTAATTTGATTAAAGAATGCCATTTTAGACCTATATGTTCCCCTGCCTTCTCAGTCGAGTTTAATTTCGATGTCCGAGAAAGCACAAGGTGGTAAAAAGAAAAAAAGCTAATCTGTAGCTACATTTACTGTCTTGGGGCCAGCAAATTTGGCAGGTCCCCTTTTGCTATATCACTTAGAAACATGAAATAGTACACACATGCAGAGAAAACATTTATTCTAAGCTGTCCTCAAAATTGAATGGATTTCTAGCTTTGGTACACAAATGAATGTGTTTCTTTGATGAAAACCCAGACTCTCCTTACCACAACTTGGAAAAAAGATGTTACTCTAAGAAACAAACCTTTGTTTCCACGGTGAAAGCTTGGAAACTGTGAAAGCTTCAATCACTGAAGAGTGTTAAGAGTAAATGGAATTTGTGTCTTTAAATTCCATTATCGAAAGTCATTTTCTGGATGCCCCCTTCTCGCTTGCCTGCGTTCTATTCCTGTCTATCGTAACCCCTGGCTGTAATAAAAGGGATGACATTTGCTTGAAGGAGGCCAGCAAGTACCCGTCATGTTGTTTCGGTTATTTTACTCTGCATATTTCTCCTGGTGCAGAGAAGTGGCTTCCTGCGCCCTGGGAGTTGAGTCTTGCCTGGACAGTTTTGTAACTGGCCGGTTGGTATCTCTGTGCAGCTGCATGCACTACCTGTGCCTCTCGGGGAAGTTCTGGCTGGTTTTGGCAACTGTGCTTCTAAGCAGGTGTTAACCAGCCGCCAAGGCATAGACGGCTCCTGCAATATAAGGACTGTTGCAGGAGCGAGATAAGACAGGGGAAGTTACCAGGAGTCTCTAGAGTCAAAAAATAATATTGCTGTGAGGTTGTCTCCTGAGAGATGGTAATGGAAGGAGTGGGGTTTTTATTCCATCGATTCTGAGAGCACCATCTGAAATCCCTTTCCACCACGTGTCTTTGGAATGAGGCCAGGTGCCGTCTGAAATTCCAGAGTGGTTGTGGTAAAGAACAGGGCTTTTTGTTTTTTCTTGATGCGTTTAGTGACACGCTGTTCTTCTGGTTACCCATCTGCTGCAGGTGAGTGTGTTTCTGCAGGCAGATGATGTGCCTTCCTTTCGTACAGCACGACAGAGAGCCCTTGCTGTATAGGAAGGGAGGTGCTAGAGAGCATGGCAGTGAAGGGGTGGATGTAAAACTGTAGGTTTACATTTCTTAGCTTTACTACTGTGGAAAGTCAGTGCTTTTGGATGGTTATAGTATCTACTTGAGGGTTTAAGCTGAAATATGAGTAGAATTTGATGTACATCTCTGGATTTAAGTGTTTTTATCCTGAGGTGACTATTTCTTTTGCTTTTCTGCATTTAATTGAGGAGACATTAGTTGTGTAATAACAATAATGTATGAACACAAATTGCTTGGGCGTTTTGTTGGGGTTTTTTTAACCTATCTTTTTATACCTAGGTATACACTGATGAGCTGTTGCTGTCACTTGTTGCACTATAAATAGTGTGGGAAATACTGGTGTGCATAATTGAACATTTTATTAACTTACGTAATGAAACAAAAGTCCATTATTGATTTTGTGTAAGTAAAAGTAGTGTAATACAATAGCTGATGGACTTCTCTTTTAGGGCTGATCTTGAGAATGGTCTTTTTTAAATAGCATTGGTTGTACTTTAATTCATTTTTACTGCTGTTCACAGGCCTCTCAGGAAGAGCTAAAAGCTGCCTACCGCCGACTGTGTATGCTCTACCATCCAGACAAGCACAGAGACCCAGAGCTCAAAACGCAAGCTGAGCGGCTCTTTAACCTTGTTCACCAAGCTTATGAAGGTCAGTGGAAGTCTGAAGTTTGCAGAAACTGTTTTCAGGGGTTGTCTAGAAGGAGGGCTGTGTCTTCGTGCTTTTTGAAAAGTATATATATTATTACAAAGTAATAATTAAATTTGCTGATGCTTAGCGATGCTTTGTTTCCTGATTCTGTCCTATAAATCAGAGGAGCAATGCAGTATAAATTCTTCAATGAACGAAATGTGGAGTCTCTGTCTTATTTCCTGCATGTCATAAATAATCTTTTCACCACTTCCCTTACTTCTGAAAAGACTTTCCCATAAGAGACTGAGGACTGCAAAGCTTCAAACAGAAAGACAATTTCATATTTTACTTTTGAACTGATACATCCTGAGTTTCTGTTCTCTATCAACTGGTTGCAGTCTCCATTGTTTTTCAGCAAGTTCTTCCATATGCTAAGACTGAGACAAGGACAGTAATTTCATCCAAGGATGCCAAAGCCCTTTAAAAATATTCTGAATTAAGCTGACATTTACTTAAATCCTGGTGTCACCATAGGTAATAAGTAGTGTAACTGAGGCACAAGGAAGTGATTTGTTAGAATTAGCTTGCAGCATTTTGCAAGTGTGGTAAGAGGCACCTGGAATGCAAGTGGATTAGAGGCTGGTAGGACTCAGCTGCATTAAAAAAACTGGTGCACCAAATGAGATGCTCTGTCCTGTAGCCTAAAGAGAAACTAAAGCAAAATTGTGAATAAATATTCCTCTATTAAACCTCAAAGATGAGCTAATTTTTTTTTTTTTTTTACTGTCATGTTTTCTGAATGATAAGCATTTGTTTCTTCCAGTTGGACTTGAACATGGGTAGAGTCTTTTACATTGTCCCTAGCTAGGTGTTAGGACATACGGAAGCTTTTGCTGGGGAGAACAGTGAAGGTCTTACATTGACGACATAGGGAATAAAAACTCAGGATGCTTCAATAATTTCATTTTAATGCGGTGAGTAGGTCTTACATTAGAGTCAGCTTTCCCTTTGAATTCTGTGTCTTTGCTTGGCTCTGTGTTGCAATGTATATGTAAACGGTTGTTCGTTTAGTACTAAATGTAAGCATAATACTTTACAAGCAAAAGTTTTGACATCTTGAAAATAAGCCACCCCGCCTCCTGCCTATTTTCTCCCCCTTCTCTTCCATCTCCTAATATCACACAAGAAAAGAGTTATTTTTTCAGAATTTATAAAAAATAGTATCTGCCTGTGACATTTAGCAAGTTCAATAATCTTCAAGTAGTTCAGATCAAACCTCAATTACTAGTATAAGCCTCTTTTTGCCTTAATATACACACCCAGCTCCCTGAAGACTCATCAGTTCCTCCACAGTCAAAAGACATGCATGATGATGATGAAGCTGATCTTGGAACCCTGTGGGAAAAATATGGATGATTTTTTAATTTTTTTGGTTTTCTTAAGGAAGGGTGTGGTATGAGAGATTATGCATTTAAATATGCCTTACATTTTGGAGAGTCTTCTTAATTCTGTGTGCAGTCTTTTTCCAAAGTAACTGTTCTGCAGTCTCCTGGTTTATTTTATTTTCTCCATTGCATTTTGTGACTTTTGGGGAGATTCAGATTCTGCATGCATTTTTGGAATTACCCTGTAGTTGATGTTTGGCAAGGCAGGAACTGCCTCATGGAAATTGCTTTGTTGGTGCTTGGCATGTCCCATATATTTGGACTGGGTGGGAAAAGATCAGTGGACAGGGATGGTAAGGAAGATCGAACAGAGGGAGTGAAGCACCAAAGAGCTTTGAAAGCTAGACAGAGGTGGGTGTCATTCCTGCTCATACAGTTTCCAGGGACTGCTATCGCTGAATGGCTAATAATCCCAATAATGCCATTAATTGTTAGAGGGCTTATGTCACCCTTCAGTCAAAGAAAGCAATATTAAAAAATCCTGCTGCATATTCAGTTAGTCTGCATGTCTCTTTTGTGTTCTTTTCACTTTTTGATTTTAGAAGTAAGGAAAAAGAAAAAGGAATTTGCTGGGGGGAAAAGTGAGTGTGTCCTGTTAATGTAGCATGTGAAAAGGTTAAAGGGAGTTAATGTAAAAATTGGATGCAACTGTAGAACAGCGTGTTTCCAGGATCTGTGCTTGAATTCCAAATAACACTAGTGTGTTGGTCTGAAATTCGAGGAGAAGACCAAAAACTGAGTTCTCTCCTCTTCTGATTTTAACTTGCAGTGCTTAGTGATCCACAGACCAGAGCCATCTATGACATATATGGGAGGAGAGGACTGGAAATGGAAGGATGGGAGGTGAGAGAAATTTAGCACCTTACGGCCAGTGGAACTGACTAAACCCACCTTTATCTGACATTCTTGTTATATCGAGCTGCACTGACACCTTGATGGTAATAAATGCCTGTTTGTTTGAAGGCATCCCTGTTTAGTTATTTCTGCCTCTCTCCATCTCTGCTGAAACACCATGATGGATTTTCAAAGAATACTTGGGTTTTTCACTTGACAAGAGAACAATAAACCTGACATTCAGAGTTCCCTAATAGGATATTACCGTGACAGGCAACATCTTTGTCTGAGAAAAATGCGTCGTTATTGTCCATCTAGTCTCATCTTTTTCATCTGAAACTTTTTTTCCCAGCATCAGCTAGCCTCTGAGTTTGAAATTACTTTTTCTTTCTGGGCTCTTTGGGGTTGTTTGGTTTTGTTTGGTTGGTTTTTATGGGCTTTGAAAGAGAACTTTTCCATTTGTGGCTTTCCTGTTGTTAAGTCCCCTTGCTAGCCTCTGCCGGTCTTAGTTGATTGCACTACGCTGCTTGCTGCAGAATATATTGTATTGGGTCAGGCCAGTGCAGAGGTCAAGTTTGGAGTTAGTAGCAAGACATGGGGAGCAGTGGCAGTGCGTAACAGACGTTTTTGAGCTGCCTGTGGCAGACTTGATCTTATTTTGAAAAGCTGAATCCATACCTAGAGCCATACCTGCTTAAAACCTTCATTTCCTGAGCCATGTAAGGGAAACAGACATGAATCAGTGTAGCCTAAAATCACAAAACTCTCACTTAATCAGTTTACCTCAGGCCAGAAGCTTTCAGTTGTTTTCATTTTTTTTTCTCTAGCCCTAGTACAGAAGTTAATGGATAGCTGTTGGTAACGGTTGTGCTGCAGTATCTTGTACTTGTGGTTTGAAAGCTATTTGCCCTGGTTTTGTCAAGGAAATAGAAATAACAAGACCATTTTCCCTTCTGTCAAAGCATGGGGTTTTCTCTTGTGCCTGCCATTTGATCTGGCCCGAGTGTTTGCTTCCAAACTCTGAGTTCAGAGTTTGCAGGGTGGCTTACAGCAGCAGCAGGGACAGCATGTTAGAGCGTACCAGGTCAGTGGACCTCCGTCCCATCAGCAATGCAATACCCTGAATACCTCTTTCTGGTAATCTTCTGTTTTTAATTTCTTTTTGAGCAGGTTGTGGAAAGGAAGAGAACTCCAGCTGAAATCAGGGAAGAATTTGAGCGTTTGCAGAGAGAGAGGGAAGAAAGAAGACTGCAACAGCGAACTAATCCAAAGGTAGGCAAAGACTTCATCCTAGGGTCAAGGGTGAATCTGTAAATTATTACGAATATGCAGGGTGTGATTAGCCTAGATGAGAGGCTATAGTAAATAGCCCCTTAGGTATCTACACTTAGTGAGTTACTTTTCCTGTTTTGAATATTCAGTTTCTCTGGGCAATGTAGGGAAAACAGCTAATTTTTTTAACAGTAATCCTCTATTGAAAGTTCCTTTTCTTTATTTCGTTGAAACATGTAGGAGCAAAATACCTGTTTCAGCAATTTCAAGAAAACAGACCTAACACTGAAATGTTTATGATTTCTTTCCAAGTATTCCAAATACAATGAAACTCCCTGCAGTTACCTGATGAGTTTCCCTTTGACACTGCTGTAGTGTCGCAACAATGCGGGGAGATATTCAAACGCAGCTTTGAAGCCAATGAAAAATGCAAGGCAGCTACCAAACCAGCTGGGTAGCAGAACTCTTCTGGCTGCAGCACAGTGAGCAAAACCAACCTGAACAGGATTGGGGTCTTGCCAGTTTCACAGTTAGTGCCTGTACTAGGAAAGCTTGATTGCACTCTCAGGATGAGAATCATTGAGTATTCCATTCACATCTCTCAGTCTGTTTGAGCAGCCATAAACTGACACTAAATGACCCACCTCGCAGCTGAATCTTGGCTGTTCAGAGATGATCAAGAATACCGTGTTGAGAATGATGTTCTCATGGTAGCGTTGGGATGGCAGGGAGAGGTGGAAATGACGATCGGCCGCTGCTTCCTCTGTCACCTGCTGCGACTGGAATACTCCAATAGTTTAGAATGCTAACGGCTTTGCTGGCTCTTGACTTGATAAGTATGCTAGGCAAACCCTGGTTTTGTCCGGATTGTCACGGACTGAGGTTTCAAAGCTTGTTGAATCACAAAAATCTTGGTTCTCATGCAGTGAATGACATTATCCAAGGGCTGCATATACACTGGCCAAATGTATTCATACTTTAGTTTACCTGTATCTATATTTTTCTCGGGTTTTTTTGCTTGAACTATCAGAAACCATTTTGTACCTATTTTTTGAAAAGTGTTAGAAATCCGTTTATTCTATGCAGTATGGAAGTGGTCCGTGGTGGGGGAGCCTTAATTTTACTCTGTCTACCCGAAGGTAACCGTACAGATATTTATGTAGACCAATTTTGTTTGTCTTGAAAAAATAAACTGTAATGAGACATCAATTTTTGTTTTATTTGTAAATGCTTCTATCCTTGATGGAAAACTGGGTATCCCCAGAGCTCTCACTGCAGGCTTGCATTCAATGCAGATTCTGCATCCTGAAGCATGGGTGGCTGTACTCTTCTGATGGCTTTGAAAGAGGAGGTCTCCTGTGTTGTTGTGTTCACGCATGGACCTCTAAAGTGTTGCAGCATAACTTGCGTAACCTGAGAAACAAACTACCAGTTGATTAACTACTATTACTGTTGGTTTTGGAGGTTGATGGTATTTTCATGGCCAGCAGTTTAAAATCACAGTGTTTTCTGATTGGACAGAAGAGTACGGTAATGCTTAGGACTGTATCAGAAAAATGTCCATCCGAGAAGACCTGTAATGTTTTGAGATATTCACCTTGGCACAGACTTTGGATCTGTGCTGGTCTTAGCAAAGCAAAGGACTAATACAGATCACCAGGCTGTTGTGGATAGTGCACAGATACTGAGACCTTGTTTGTACTGGAAGGGTAAATAAGCATAAGGTGTTACATGAATAACTGCTGACAACATTACTGCAGGCAGGAAGGGATTCCTGGATGCCACTAAAGGGGCAAGTCGAACTGTCTCTGCTGGAGATGGAGGGTGATTGGGGTCAGAAGGGTATTCTGAGAGAGGGTGATGTTTATCTCCACCTCATGATTCTCTGTGACTTCAGGAATTTGACATTTTGTCTGGGCGCCTCGCTGTGGCTGTGAGCCGTAAAAAGTGGAGCTGCATTGTAAGCCTCAGCCTCTGTGTCCTGTGATAAAATTAGCCATCTGGGTGTTTACAGCAATTGCTGATTGGCAGCCTATAGAAATGTCTCTCCAGGCAGTGTTCCTGTGGAATTAGGTAGCGCAGCTGTGATCATTTCATACACGAACGCAAGTTATTTTAAAATTTCCAACATTTTGTCAGTTCTATAAAACGGTTCCAGCAAAATAAAGCATTTTCACCAGAAATGTTGAGCAATAACCAGATGTAGGCAATTTGGCAGGTTTCGAATTGAGTCTATTATTTGCTTTTAGAGCTTCGTTCCTGCTTTCAAAGATGTGCAGAAGGGTTGAAAAGTTCATTACTTGATTTGAGAAGAACCGCTTCCTGTTAGGAGAAATTAAATCCCATTATTTTCCTGCTGCGGAAGGTCAGCGTCTAAGAGATGCAGGTCCCTCAAGGCTTAGTCTGGCACAGCTTCCATATGTCACCTTCCAGAAGGTAAATCCCTAAGAAAAGAGGCAAGGAGGGAGTATATTCTTCTCTGGCACACCTCTTAATTCCAGCAGTAAAGTCTGTTTCGTATTCGCAGGATGGCAAATAAAGGTGATTTTAAAAGAGGATACCAGGTATCAACTCTGATGGTTCTGTAGCGTTGTTCCCCAGCTTCCCGTCCTGCTGAGCTGGTGTGCTTTGCAGCATGTCGCATGCGTGCACCGCTGACTTCTGAGCAGAGCTTTACAGCTTTTTCCCTGCTGCTCTTTCTTTGGGGAGGGCTTTTTCATTTCCAATGGTCTGAGCAGGTGGCTGATGGGGAGTTGCGAGCAGCAGTGGTCCCCTCTCTATTATCCGGTGGCATAGGGGGTGCTGTCGTTCTCTGGGAATATTTTTAACTTTACCATCTGCTGCTTTTCCTGTGCTTGCCCCCGAGCCAGTTTCCTGGCCAGGATCTATAGACCTCTGAGGGTGACTTCACCTGCTCGGTGGGAGGTGAAATGTCTGCACGGAGTCCACCGCTCACTTCAGCGAAAGGCAGCTGAATAGAAGATCTGCTGAGGAGGCAGGGAGGGAGTGGAGACGCTCCTTTCCTCTGAATGGGTCTTGTGGATTTTCATGGATAGGTTCAGATGTTTACCTTTTTTCGTTGGGAAGGATATTTGCTCTGAAATTCATAGGTGTGAAAAAGGAAATCATAAGATTTTGAGTATGACTGAAAGAAAGGAGGTGCAATGAATTTCAGGAATGTGTGTGGACCTTGATCCATCTTTACAAAGGGTACAAGCATTGCAGTATGAGTAAATGTAGTATAGTAAGGTGTTTTTCAGTGTTTGGGGTTTTTTAGTGCAAATTCTTGAGAAAGATTTACTGCTGCTTATATTCCAGTCTGAGTTGAAAACACACAATTTTCTGTCTTTTTACCATTCAAATTCAGCATGCTTACTACTCAGCATGCTATCCCTTGTTTAAAAATGTTTAACTTGGAATTTAAGGTTGCAGTCTGGCAAAGGTTCTGCGCTGAGTGTGGCGCTCCACATGGAAAGCCTTTCTTTCCATCCTGCCTCTGTTAGGAAAGATCTTGGGTTTTATGCTTCCTTGAGTTGAAGAGCATCAGGGAAAAATTAAAATAGTTCTCTCTTTTGTTAAAATAAACGCTCACCTGTATCGAGACATGTTCGGGTGGCCACTCTGGAGTGCATTTGCTGGAATTTCATTGAGTGGAGTTGGCACTTTCTGTTTCTCTTGGGCTGTTGTACTCCGTGTCTTTCCAGAGGGCTGGAGAGCAGCACAGGGCTGCGCTGCTTCCTAGGCAGTTGGCGGTTTTGCCTTGCTTCGCTCTTAATTTGGCCTCGTTTCAAGGCACAGCACAGCGTAGGAGTGGGCTGAAACTGAAGACGCTGTAGCGTCTGGAGAGCAGATCCCTTGAAGGTGACTTTGCAGATGGTTCCTGAAAAGTAGTCTTCTGCATAAAGGGCAGGAGCTCGTCCTTGGTGCTGCCACAAACAGAACGATGAGCGTAATTGCTTTGAAATTCACCAGCCTGCCAAGAGTAATCTGTAAACAGTTGGGGCACAGCCCCTGTTCCAGAGTTCTCCTGGAAATAATCACACCTTCCTGTGTTAAAATATTTATCCAATTTTTTGCTGTGCAAGGAATCAGAAAATAAACGTGGAGAAGAGGTCGGGAATCTCCACAGCAAATAAATAGTTGGGAGCCAAACCAGAAAGAAGTTTTGAGTCCTGTCAGACTCTGCAATTCTTCTTATATTTATGGTTCAGCATTTGATTAGAGTGGAGTGAGCAAGGAAAAATGCTCACTCAGGTTGAAATAAGAATTTATTCCATCCACACTTGGACTGTGTGTGAGTGGGTTTTGTACCTACGCAGCTATTGAGTTTCTTTATACAAATTGCTTGGGGTTCGTTCTGTGCTTCTGCACAGAGGGTTGGTTTTTTTATTGCAACTGGTACATTTTATATGAGGTGGAATGCTGTTTAATAGGTCTATAGGGAAGGTTTCCAAAGCCTCTTGAAGTTATATGACCCAGACAAGGATCTAATCATGCCCTTTTCAAATAAACCCACTCTTGCAGTTAGTCTGAGTGAGCACAGCAGCAGGTAGCCAGACTATTTAGCTGTGGCCTAGTTTTTTGTAGGAATAAGCTTTCTTTCGTCTGAGAAAGGAAGTATTTACCACTTCCTAAAAGTCTCCCTTTGTCAAGCTTTTCTTCTGATTACAAGATATAAACTAGGAAAAAGAAAACTAAATTTTTGACTAACGAGGTCAATTGCAAGTGAATGTTGGCAGCTCTAAATTGTTTCAGATAACTCAAAGAAGAAAGCATTTAGAGGATTTCTGGCCAAGTTCCATGGAAGAAAATCAATTTCTAAAATATATTATTTCAACTTTAAAATACTGACAGAGCAGAGTCAGTTGTGGGGGAAGAAGAAACCTGCTGTGTGAAAGTGTTCTACCTACTTCTGTAATGTGTCACAATAGGACTACCTACTAGTATTACAAGTTGCAATCCTGCTGACAAATTGTCTTTTATCAAGTTTATTTATGATTTATATTGCTGTTTTAGAATATTGTGATCATTAATTTTTGTTTGTCTTGAATGTGTAAGAAATGCATTTTAAAGTGGAAAAGGTAATAGCAGAACAAGAAAAAAAACGCAAAAAAAATTAAACATGTACAAGGACTGTTTAGCCATTTGGCCTCTATATGTTGGATGTTTGTTAATGCTAAGTACTTGTTTCACTTGTCATTCCTTAGGGAACAATTAGTGTTGGAATAGATGCCACTGACCTCTTTGATCGTTACGACGAAGAATACGAAGATGTGCCTGGGAGCAGCTTTCCCCAGATTGAGATAAACAAAATGCACATATCCCAGTCCATTGAGGTAAGGAGGGCAGACACTGCTGCTGGTGTGGAGCAGGGCCTGAGCTAATGAGGCACTACCGTGCAAAGCAACGGGAAATGAAACACTGCTCAGGGGGTTCTCATCTTGATTTATGGAAGGATGCGATTACCAGTCTGGGTGGGAAGAGGAAGGTCAGTTCCAGCAGGACTGCGTGTTGACTGTACAGCGTGCATTTGCGTGACTCGTTTGTAGGCTACAGCGCTCCTGCCTCCTAGCACAGAGGCTCAGTCATGATTGAAAACAGGTATCTACTTCTCACTGAACATGGAGTGTTTAGTGTATGAAAATGAATGGTGCCCAGTTTTGAGGATGTGGGGTAAGGAAAAGAAAGGGGAGCGTTTCCTCTGTTCCAGAGAGGTGACGAAATTTAGTCTGCTAGTGACATTAGAAGGGTTTGCAGCTCAGGGTCAGGACTTTAAGGTGGTACATTAAAGGTGTCACAGATGTCTGGTACTGTAAGAATTATCTCACTTTTTGCCGTACTTGATCTTTGACTACAAAATTTAGAGCAAGTGTGGCCATGTCTGGTTTAAAGACCTGGGCTCAGTGGATGACAAGGAGTCACTGGAGAGTTACCTTTTTCTCTGCGCTTACACTCACGGCGGTCGTGATTATGTCCTTGCAGAATAAGCACTAAATGTGTGAATTGGGATCAGACTAATTGGTAACAATATATTCATTTTTCAGGCACCGCTGACTGCCACGGACACAGCAATACTGTCTGGTAACCTTTCCACCCAGAATGGGAATGGAGGTGGATCGATTAATGTTGCTCTGAGACGAGTGACATCTGCCAAGGGATGGGGAGAGGTAAGAGTACTAAGTGTTATGCATTTTTATATCCAGTCTGTTTCAGGCTGCTTGGATTAGTTACCTAGTGTTTATTTTCTTTAGGGAACTTTAGTTCTGTTTTATCTCTCATTTTCTATGTTCTGTAGAATGTAGAAAAAGGAATTCTCAAAGGAATTTGAGAAAAAGGGACGGCCAAACTTTGTTTTTTCTTAATTTTTTCCCCTTTCCATTTGTCCACGCATTTTTGGAGTTCACTTGTGCTGACAGAATTGTTACCTGTTGTCTCCAGCCTTCCTAATTTCACTGTCTGAAGGTTCTCAGGTGCCTTCCGGTGCTGTGAGCATGCACCTTAGGGCAGCATGATAGTTTGCCTTCACTTCAAAAACTGCTTGGCTCACAAGGGAAGAAGTTATGGGGGAAAACAGTTTGACTCCCAGGAAGATCTGATCTAAGGAGCTGGAAGGTCCCACGCTACCACCTGCAAGCTGTGCCTCGCTAGACCGGTGGCTTTGTTTGAGATGCTCATGGCATCGCTGCTACGGCTGGCAGGCAGCTTGCTTTCTGCACCTTCCTTTTTGCACACTGGCTTCTGCTAACCTGTTTCCTCAGCTTGTGAGAAATGGGATTTTTCCCTCTTGTTTGAGAATTCATAGACTGGAGGCATTTGATTTGCATTAGGATTTCATAATATTGGTAATACAGGAGCTTGTGGATATTGTCGTGAGTCAGTTGACTAAAAAAGTCTTAAAAAAAACCCGTGCAATAAACTTACTTGGGAGATGCAGATGTAGTAGGAACTGCTTTTGCAGGTTTTGTCATGAAAAGTGTCAGGTCTAAGAACTGCTTCCGTTAGTGAGACTGAACAGCATCAAATAAACATTGAATAGCAGCCCTGGAAGTCACCCAGACTAGTGGGTGAAGCAGCAGGTGTGTTTTGCAGATGCTGAGACGGTGCAGCAGCAGAAGTGCTGACAACATTACTATGAGGCTGTCCTGTGAAGGACTCTTACCCTCAGAGGGCAGCAGCCAGGCCTTGCTGTTTGCTGTTGTGAGGCTGCAATGGAGGCGTTTTCTCCATTTTCACTGGAGCAACCAGAACAGGTGCTAGTAGTAGTAGCTTGTAGCACTATGGAACTGGCTTTGTTTTACTCATGAGGACCCTACTCAGTCAGACACCTCTTATTCTGAATGCAAAGCTAGCAGAAAAGAATGGATGCTGAAATACATGGTCAATGTTACTCACGTGTAAAATGTCTGTGACGTAAATGACACTTGTGAAGTACTTGGTCACTGTTGTAAAAGATGTTTTCTTCTAACAATTTGGCATTATGCATTTCAACAGTTGGAGTTTGGAGCAGGAGACCTTCAGGGACCTCTCTTCGGTCTGAAGATATTCCGTAATCTTACACCAAGATGGTAAATATTAGAAAAATGGTCTAATGGTTAATATTCCACGCTAAGGAACTAAATGGGTTGAATTCTTTTCCATGTTGATTCTGGATTTGTTTTCTGTTCTACAATATATGGTATTTCTTCTTCAGACTTAAGGTTGTGCTTTAGTATTGATCAAAATGCTTGTACTCTTTTTGTGTGTTGCTGTCCTCCGTTTTGATACCTCCAGTTTAAGGAAGGTCTGTGTTCCACATCCTTAGATTTTGTACTTGATCTTGTCATGAATTCGTGATACCTGAGGCATGGTCTCACAATCAGAGCCACAGAAGTTTGCTCTGGGAGCAGAACAAAAAAATTGGGGAGCTCTTCTGGGGCTTCCATGTGTGAGCTGAAGTTTCTGACAGGAATAGAGGAGATGATATGTCATATTTTTAGGGAAATGATGCCAAATTTGCCACTAGTGTGGTGTCTGTTTACAAATGAACAGAGGTCTCAAGTTGCAAAGGAGGGTACAAGGTAAGGGCTGTGATTGTAGACATATGCTAGAGTGCTAGAGCATCGTAGGTACCAGTGTAGACTTCCTTCTTTTTATATTTTCTAATTTAGTAATGCCATTCCTCAGAGCTTGTACAGGGATCTTGTTCTGCGTAGAGTCCTTTATTGCTGGTTTTTGGAGCTGATGCTTGAGGATTATTAAATAGCAGGACTGCTATCTTCTAGCAGCCAAGTGTCCTGCCTTTACAGAAGAGCAGGACTTTTATCTGCCTAGGGCGAGAAGGGTAAAGGCTGAAAGGTAGCCTGCTGTGTTGCGGCACAGACCAATAAATTAGGGCATGAGCTCGCTCTTCTGGGTGGTGCTGTGGTCAGTACGGTCTAAATTAGTTTTGAGTTTTTCCTGAAACCCTCGGGCATTGTGCTCTTTGCAGGATATTCTCTGCATATTCAGCAAGGCTCTTGGGCAAGAAGGAATTTGAGGCCATCTGGGAGCCTGTGTTTTATCACTGATGGGGCTTTCCTTATTTCTCCTAGTTTCATCACTACAAACTGTGCCCTGCAGTTTTCGTCGCGTGGGATCCGCCCAGGCCTCACCACGGTTCTAGCCCGCAACCTCGACAAGAACACAATGGGGTACTTACAGTGGCGGTGGGGCATCCAGTCAGCCATGAACACTAGTATTGTCCGGGATACAAAGACCAGCCATTTCACCGTGGCGTTACAGGTGAGAGTCCTGTTGCTGTACACAGGGGACAGCGATACCACCCTGTGGGAGAAAAGTGCCTCAGCTTTTCTGCTCTAGCAGTATTTTCGCATGGGACTAGAGGATAACGGAGCAGTTGGTACTGTCTTGTATGAATATGTAACATAGGTAACCAGCTGCATTTGGCAGAACGCAACACTTTGCACCCAACATCGTCATCTCTAATGTGGATCAGCTCAGATTAGGGTCAGGATGCACAACACAGACTGCAGAGGTTGCAGGGTGTGGCGTGTAAGTGGCAAGCATTGCTATGTTTTCTGTGCTACTTAAAGGATAAGAAAGGAAATTTGAGGGAGCATTCAGTGGTGGCAGAGGGTATGTTTTCATACATTTGTGCCTCTTGTATTTCAGCTGGGAATCCCCCATTCTTTCATGATGGTCAGTTATCAGCATAAGTTTCAGGATGAGGATCAAACACGAGTGAAAGGCTCTCTCAAGTAAGTGTGCAAGAGGAAATTCACATTGCTCGCAGCCTGAAGAATCTGTCCTGTCCTGCTGTTGTAGGCCTCCAAGTTCCACACAAATCAAATGCTTCTGTGGTCTTTGGGAATCTGCTCTTCATTAATTAAATCTGGTAAATGCTGAAGTGAATGTCTTGAAGGCTTAGCTCTGTGTGCCTCTTCGGATAAGTGGAACTTAAAATATTTGTGTGTGGTATCTCTATATCATCACCAATAAGAAAGCCAGAAGTTCTTGTAGTCTGTTTACTACTTTACAAGCTGAAAAGGCTAATTTCATCTTGTAGATACACCGTGAACCTTCCAGTAGCCAACATTTGCTGCAGAGAGGTGTATTTCCATGCTTTACTTGTTGGGAAATTACAGGATTCAGTAAAGAGAAATTCAGGAGTCTTCTCTGTCTTAGCAGTTTTTGGTTCTCTCGTTCTAGGGCGGGTTTCTTTGGGACCATAGTGGAGTACGGAGCAGAGAGGAAGATTTCCAGACACAGCATTTTAGGAGCCACCGTCAGTGTTGGTGTTCCCCAAGGAGTGTCTTTGAAAATCAAGTCAGTTCAAGATTACAACTCTAGATTTCAGAGGCTGACCATAACCTGCATAATTCTATTTCCAGTATTCAGGTGGGAAGGTCCCAGTCTTAGGGTAATACAGGTATATTGATATATCACTATGAAAGGTTGCAGCTGCCCTCACCTCTAATATAAGTGGTGCCCATCGGAAGCAATGTGTGCCTTCTGCTGGTGTTACGCTGAGCCTGAGCCACCTCTTTCAGGACTAGTGTGTGTGCGTGCATCAAAATATTCTGAAAATACAGCTTAAAGTAAGGTTTGGAGCATTATGGTAAGTGGATGGAAGATTTCTGAAAATATTATCGATAGAAATGTATTTAATTGCATTCCATTTTTAAAACACTGTACACAAGTATATACTTGAATTAGTGAATTATCATTAACTAATCTAGGTGATTATACTATTAATAAGATGCAGTTCACAAAGAGGGGCGGAACTCCCTTAAGGGTTCCTATACTGTAGTGCATTTTTAATTGGTGCCAGCAGAGGGCGAGCCAGGACGCAAAAACTGTAAAGAAGCCCTCTGTCCCAAGAAAACCAAAGTTTTCTAAAATAAATATTATTGTAAGTGTCAGAAAAATATTAATGTACTCCTCCCCTGAAGGCAAATGCTGGTGTTGTGCACATAGACCTTTTCTCTAGGCGTTTTCTTTTCTTTTTATGATGATGGTAGTCCCTTTCCCTGGTGAAATTAATGACCCTGCTGCTAAGTGTACTTAATCAAGCACATTAAACTCTGCATTTCCTCTTACCTGTCACTCTGTTCTTTTTTGCTCCAGGTTGAATAGGGCTAGCCAGACCTACTTCTTCCCTGTCCACCTAACAGATCAGCTGCTTCCCAGTGCTGTATTCTATGCCACCGTGGGACCTCTAGTTATCTACTTCGCCATGCATAGGCTAATCATCAAACCCTACCTCAGGGCACAAAAGGAGAGGTAAGCTCGCAAGACTGTGTTTTAAATTCAGAGCTGGGAAGTCCCATGCAAGTGCTTCTGGGAGCCTGGTGCAAAGGCTGGAATATCCAGCTGAGGCACTGTGGTTCACTATATCATCAATACTACTGAGTTCTGGAAGCCTACAAAAATAGCTTGAAAGGTGGGCAAGAACCTTAAAACTGAGCTCATTTGTGTCAGGTTGTGGGCCAATTGTAATTGGGGTGGGTAAGTAGACATCTGCCACTTTGTGGCTGCATCCCATCCACTGTGTAGACCTGATGTGATGTTGACTTCCTTACGCCAGAGAGCTGGAGAAGCAAAGGGAGAATACAGCCAGCGACATCCTTCAGAAGAAGCAGGAGGCTGAAGCTGCGGTGAGTTTTTCCTGTAACTAATCTTTCTTGGTTAAAGGAAGCTCTTTTCACTCCGGGCTTTTCCCTTTTGGACGCAGTGTCTGACAGGGCTTGACTTTTGCTCTGCCCCTTGTGTTGTGACAGGTTCGGTTAATGCAAGAGTCTGTCCGGAGGATAATTGAAGCGGAGGAAGCCAGAATGGGTAAAGATTACAACACCATTTACTTGTTCCATAAATTTGGAGAGAGGAGGGAACAATACAAAGGCTGGGTGGTACAGGGGGGAGAAATGCAAGGTACTCTTTCTTCATTTCCACTCCTAATGAAGCACAGCATAATTGCTGTTGTGCACGTAATGGGGAAGTTCTGTTACGCTTTGGCTTACGGTGCCTGAGTGTAGTAGGGATCCACTGAACATTCTGTTGGGACAAGCTGTGAGGTGGGTCAACAGGCTGAAGACAGTAGTCTGGATTCACTTCTCCACAAGAGAGAGGTGTGTGTATAAATACGTGCAAAAGTTATAGTCTGAAGTTTAGGTTTCACTGGTCTCTAACTTACACAGTTTGCTCCTGGATCATAACAGAAATCTGATTTCTGATGTGCTAGCAATTTCCAAGCAAATGTTTCAAAGTGAACTGACATCCACTTGGATTGCCATGTCAGCGTGGCGTTGAAGTCACGTCATTCTGTCCTAGTGCTGAAGATTGCTAACAAACACGCAAGTAGAAATGTTCTTCTGTCTTGAGAAGCATGGGTCCAGGCAAGGAGAGTTTAAATGTCATTGAAAGCAAAAGAAAATGCTGGGATGGTCTTTTCATCAGTGTCTGCCTAGCTGTCAGTGGGAAGCCTTTCATCACATCTCTGATTTCATGTGAAATGCAGGTTTGATTGTAGTCAACGCCTGGTATGGGAAGTTTGTTAATGACAACAGCAGGAAGAATGAGAAGGTGAAAGTAATAGATGTGACTGTGCCCCTGCAGTGCTTGGTGAAAGACTCTAAACTCATCCTTACAGAGGCATCCAAGGTACGTAGCTGTTCTGTCAAAGCCCAGACTCAAGGGCTCCAATGTGTGACTCAGAGTTTCAACTGAACCGTATGCTGTCCTGCCAGGGGATTTCTCCAGTGTGCTTGAAGCTAGTGACTCTAGATCAATTTACAGTGTTATGAATGTCCAGGAACTTCTGTTTCTCTGGGCATTTCCAGTGCCAAACAAAACAGCATCTCCATATCTGCAGCGTGGGACAGTGTCTGTTACAGACTCTGGGGCTGTACACCAGAAACTTCCCAAACCCCTGATTTTCTCTTTTCTGCCATTAGAACTTGTGGAGGCGATTCCTTAGCTTGTTGTCTCATCTCATTGGCAACAAAACTCCCTTTTTTTAATGACACCTCACTCTGGCAGTAATAAATGGTTTGGGTCGGTTGAAGAGCTGTGAAAGTCCACTCCCTGATGCTCAGTCTGTCCTTCTCTGGTTCAAGGCTGGGCTGCCAGGTTTCTACGACCCCTGTGTGGGTGAGGAGAAAAGTCTGAAAGTGCTTTATCAGTTCCGAGGAGTTCTGCACCAAGTGATGTCAGCTGACAATGAGGCCCTTAGGATACCAAAGCAATGTAAGTAGCAAGGACCACCCTGCTTCTTCCTTCAGGAACCAGTAAAGGACTGCTTCAGCTCTGTGTGGCAAAGTGCACAGAACTGGGGTTCTGGGGTTCAGAACTGGGGTTACTGAAATGGGCTGACCATGATAGACCTCTGGAGTATGACCTAAAAGAGCTCAGCAGCACCACTGCAGCTGTTTTTACCAACTAACCTTATATATCTAACTGGAATTAGAAGCAGAGGCATCCTGCAGCTGCCAGTGTCCCTGCCAGGCAATTCACAACATCAGATTGCCCTTTGAGGACTGAATTGAATGTATGAAGGCAAGTTGGAGGCCTGAGCCAGATTTCTTCCTCATCCCCATTTATCTATCTGCCAAAATATTTTCCCTGCCCGAACAATTTTGTGAAACTGGTATCTGCTAGTGACAACATTTACCGGTACCCCTGTAGTTCTGGGGAGTTGGCTAAAGGGCACAAACCTCGTGTTTACTCTAGACCAGCTCCCTAGCCCAATTTAAGAAGCACAAGAAGCACATCCAACTTACAAAGCTTCCATAAGTACGTTGGAGGTGTATATGAATCGTGTTTAATTAGCAGCCAGAAATGTTGCGGTCTGTCCCTGGTACGGTGGCAAGTTCAAGCTAGGACGTGTCTTGTCCAACAGAAATGGCATGTGTCTATTTAATTGTTCTTATTCTTATCCGACAGCTCACAGAATCGATGCAGATGGCTAATGTGGTGAGAGCGTGCGTGTCCATTACAGTACCTGGGTCAACGGAAACTACAAAACCTTCCCCCGGATGCTACAAGTTTGAACAGAGACATTTTTATTTTTACTATCCATGTAGCAGGTGGTGTCCTACCAGTTATGTTAGGAGGCAAAATGAGAGAACCTGCTTCTACAGGTGGCTCCAAGGCAATACTTCTCTGAATTGTGGCTGAGTAACCAATAAAGCAACGTGACTCTGAATGCGCAGTGCTTTCTGCTGAGGTTGTGCGAGCGGGCACTGAGCACCACCCGTCACGCAGCCAAGTCTTTCCTGCTGTGATTTGGCCACGGTTTGTTTGTGCGGTCTCACGTCTATCTTCTTGCACTGAGCAGGGAAGAAGACCTGTTGTTCTCCCTTCTCCACATACTTCCTGGGGTAGGTAACATACCTTTTTCTAGTCCTGAGGGGAAGTTAAGTTCTCTGGCCACCTCCTGGAAGGCCTCTGTGTAAATCCTTTTGTTGGAAAGAGGACAGAGATTGTTTTCCATCTCAAATGTGTATTTGAAATGTACTTGTTAAGAACAAGTATGTTTGGAATGGAGTTCTTTGCCTTTTGTAGTAACATGGACCTCTTCAGTGTGAATCCATCCAGCTGCTAATTTCAAACACTGCTATTGCAGACAAGGACATGGGGTATAATAGTCTTATTAATTCTTCTGCCACCTAGAACCATGTACTATCAAGGCTTTCCAGAAAAGAGGAAAGCAACTGGGGGAGAAGGACAGCAATTCATTTCGCTTGACTCCGATGCTGGAACTCTCTCTTCCCATCTAATTTATTTCTAGGAAAAAGAGGAACATAGGTTATACAAGTAAACCAGACCAAAGTGAGGAGAGATGCCAAATGGGCAAAGAGCTGAAAACGTAAAATTCAGCTGGCCTTTCTAAAAAGCATCAGTTATGACATCAATCCATTGGATTAATCTTGCATAGAAGCCACGCCAGTGATTTTCCAGCAAAAAGGGCAGTCGTGTTCTAGTGACACAGCAGATGGAAACGGCAGCCTTATGGTATCTACCACACACTGCATACATCAACACTACTGAGGCTTTTTCATAGAGAAAAGGAATAATCGTGGCTGTTTCTCAGTCACAGTTCTGCTCTTGGTGAGTCCTAGAATAGCCTTCGTTGCTTACATGTGAGACAGAGGGGAGAAGAAAAACGTATCTTGGCAGTGCATTGTTGCTCTTGGCAGTCCTGAGACGTACCTGGACCCTTTTTCTGTGCAACGGTGGTTCTCTTTGCTCAAGTCATTGTAACAGGAGAATTAGATTTCCAAAAGCAGACATATTTGAGCCAGTCTGAAAGAGATGCCCCCCACCCCATACAGGTTCATACAATGAAGGGGTGTTCACTTGTTTTTATTAAAACCTAAACAAAACTCTTCAGTTGTGACCAGCTCCTGGTGCAGGATTTTATTTCACTTACTACCAGTGTTCTGTTGATCTGAAATTAAATGTAAAATGTGCAATAAATTATATTCAGCCGAAAAGTAGCCCATGTTCCACTTGCATCTGTAGGACACTCTTGAAAATAAACTCTGGAAAAGCAAGGGTTGCAAGTTTTGTAAATGTAGCTGCACCCTCCGTCACATCCTGCTTATTGACCTCTGTTGATCGGTTGTCTCTGTAACTAGTTGAACTGGGCAGAAATCTCCACCAGAAATTCCGTTGTCGTGTCTTGTCACTGCGTGAAGTGCATGGTCAAGAGTGAGAGCCAGCCTGTAGTGACTGGGATGTGGCAAAATATTCGCAAGGAGGAGTACTGAGAATTAAGTTTTGTGTAAGCAAGTGCAAAATAGTGACAATGCATTTACTGCTAATTACAAAGAACCTTAGCATAGCCCTGTATCTAGTTTGCAGTGACACTGAGGAGTGTTTACACAAAAAAGTTTACACAGTAACACAATTTTCCTCCTTTCTGACAGCTTCCTGAGATACAGTTTCTGCTGTCATGCAAGTGTTTGTCTACATTAAAATGGAGAGAAATAGCGATGTGATTCTAAAAACTGCTTCAGTACTTCAAGAGGTCCTGGGGTATTTCTACACTTGAAAAATAAAGTTTCTGAGGGGCAGAGCGCATTGGTCCTACTCCAGCAGCTAAAACCTCTAAAACAGGGTAGCATCTTTGGGTGCAAACTTCAAAATGCATTAGAAACATGAGGTGGCGTATCCATCTCTAATTGACCCAGCAAATGCTTAAGATACCTTAATGAGGATCCAGGAACACACACTAGTCTTTTCAGCCAGAGCTTTTAAACTGTAAATTCTTGAGGTGGAGATTCAGGTTTAGGATTTACTTTATGGCATCTTCCCTCATCTTCCTGTACATGCTCTCCTCTTTGACAGACATGCCCCAGGGTGGCTCAGCCGGTGAAAGGCTACAAGGAGCCAGAGCTCCAGGCACTGGTTCTGCTGTAAAAACCATCTAAACCTCCTCCCGTGCAACTCAACCAGTGTGTTCGTACCTCCAAGCCAGGGCTTGGAGTCAGGCAAGTGCTTTCCTCTTAACCACAGCTGTGTTCTCATCAGAGAGCTGACTCAGTTCTCCTGCCTTCCCCCAGCACCTTGGAATTGTCTTTCTGTCTAATTGCAAAGAAGTTTGTGCAAGGCACAGATGAACCGTAACTTTGTACTTTGAACATCTGAATTTGCGACTCTTGTTAAAGTAAAATCCCTCACGATTAATACTGACACAGGCCTTGCCCTGTTCCCTGGCTAAACATCATAAAAAGTATATAGCTTGGTTTTTGCTGCCAGATTAGCCCACCAAGCATTCAGACCCTTGCTCTTCCCCTCCTTTCAAGTACTGCGAGTGCCCTTTCCCATCCATGAGGCTGCTGCGGTAGGTTCTTCTCTGTGAGCTCCTTTTTTGCTTCCCTGCAGTGTTTGTCATCAAGCGATGCTGAATTGTGTCCACAGGGTGGAGTCTGCTGCCTGTCCTGTCCTGTTTGTCCCCTCCCTTGGTGCCAGGTATTGGGTCGGTCCCTTCTACTGAATACTTCAGCCCACCTCCTCCTCTCCACCTTATTGTCGTGGTTGACCCCAGCCACCAACTAAGCACCATGCAGCCACTCTGTCACTCCCCTCCTCAACTGGACAGGGGAGAGAAAATATAACAAAAGCCTCGTGGGTCAAGATAAGGACAGGGAGAGATCACTCAACCAGTTACCGTCATGGGCAAAAGAGACTCAACATAGGGAAAATTAACTTAATTTATCGCCAATCAAACCAGAATAGGGTAATGAGAAATAAAACCAAATCTTAAAACACCTTCCCCCCACCCCTCCCTTTTCCCAGGCACAGCTTCACTCCTGAAGCAGCAGTGCAGGGGGATGGGAAATGGGGGTTATGATCGGTTCCTCACACCTTGTCTCTGCCACTCCTTCCTCCTCAGGGGGGAGGACTCCTCACTCACCCCCTGCTCCACCGTGGGGTCCCTCCCACAGGAGACAGTCCTCCACGAACTTCTCCAACATGAGTCCTTCCCACAGGCTGCAGTTCTTCATGAACTGCTCCAGCGTGGGTCCCTTCCACAGCGTGCAGTCCTTCAGGCACAGACTGCTCCAGCGTGGGGGGGTCACAAGTCCTGCCAGGAGCCTGCTCCAGCATGGGCTTCCCACGGGGTCACAGCCTCCTCCGGGCACCCACCTGCTCTGGCATGGGGTCCTCCACGGGCTGCAGGTGGATATCTGCTCCACCGTGGACCTCCGTGGGCTGCAGGGGGACAGCCTGCCTCACCGTGGTCTTCACCACAGGCTGCAGGGGAATCTCTGCTCGGGTGCCTGGAGCATCTCCTCCCCCTCCTTCTTCACTGACCTTGGTGTCTGCAGGATTGTTTCTCTTACATGTTCTCACTCCTCTCTCCAGCTGCAGTTTCTGTGCCCCAGCAACTTTTTTTTTTTTCCCCTTTCTAAATATGTTATCACAGAGGCGCTACAACTGTTGCTGATAAGCTCGGCCTTGGGCAGCAGCAGGTCCGACTTGGAGCCGGCTGGCACTGGCTCTGTCAAGACATAGGGAAAGCTTCTAGCAGCTTTTCACAGAAGCCACCCCTGTAGCCCCCCCGCTACCAAAATCTTGGCACACAAACCCAATACACGTATTTTCTGTTGGTGCAGTTTTAAAGAGACTGTAAGAACAGCCCCACTTGAGAAACCACTGCTTTCAACACCACCATTTCTGCTCTACAAGAAACTGCCATTTTACAGCTCCAACTCTGCTGGGACTTTGTTTCTCACTCTGTATAATACAAAATTGCAAATAGAATTAAAATAGAAGCTATAAGCAAGTAGAGCTTAGCTTCTAATACAATCCAGTCCCGTTTCCAAAGAATTGAGCCATCTTTGAAGTTTGCCGAGGTGTTAAGGCTGCAGCTTTGAACACAGCTGGCTGAGCAGCAGTGCCTTCAGGGTCGTGGCGCATACAGGAGCACATACAGGGGTGGCACTAGGGCATCAGCATCCCTTTGGTGGTTTGGGGTCCTCGGTGCCGCAGGCACGGCAGGGGTGGGAGGGAAGGAGCCCTCCTTCAGCACAGCTCCCAGGGGGTTTAAAGGGGGTTTGCTTTAGGTCTGGCTGAGCAGCCTGTCTTTGCCAGGCAGATGCAGTACAGCCCAAGGTCCGTTTCTGAGGCTGCCCAGTCCTGCGGGGACCTGGCTCTCACACAAGTGGGACAGGCATGGGGTCACTTCGGCCAGCAGTCTCACCTGGTGTGACCTGCCCAGCTTCTACACACCAAGCCTGCCTTCAGGCGCTCTCCACGAAGGACCCCTGCCAGGACAGCACGGTCCCAACGCCATAGGTGTCCTAACCCAAGCCCTCTCCCCCCGCCGGGCTCGCGCCAGCCTTTGCACCCTTCAGCAGGTCCCTGTCAGCGAGCCCGGTGCAGCATACCAGCTGCCTTCAGCTGCTCTGGACTCCCGCAGCAGCAGGCATCGCCTGCCTCCCATCGCTGCCCCATGCTTGTCCCTGCACCAGCGGCAGGGCTCCACCACGATTTACCTTGCTCACAGCAGAGGCTGGGCAAGGAGCAACTGCAACAAAGAGAGGTAAGGATACCTGTCAGCACAGGGAAGATGCGTTTGCAG